TTCATCCACCCAAAGGAGCAGGAGCCCGTCCAAGCTGTCCCTCTGGGGACCATATGCTCCTGCCAATTTGCTGCTGTTTCTCCAGCATTTCTGGAAACTCTTGGAATCATGTCAGAGCCTGTGGCATATGCTGTGAGTCCTTATGGGGAGCGCATGTCTGTCCTTTGGGTGGCTTGGCTCCTCTGGAAATGAGTGAGTCTTTCGGGGCCATGTCGTGAAGGCAGGAGGCCAGGTGGGAGCGGAACCTGATCTGAGGCAGGGGTGTGGGCACCCTGCAGGGATGCTCCGTGTCCCCGGGCACCCCAAGGCCCACCTAGAAGGCTTCTGTGCCAAAGTGTCCAGAGCTTCTTGTGGGCCCCAGCAGCACCATTAGCCTAGATGTGTGGCCTCTCAGGGGCTGGCTTGGAAGGCCCAGCCTCCTCTGACTGTCCTAGAAAGTCCTGGTTTGCCTGATAAGAAGCCCATCGTGGAATCCTGCCAGGCTTGGGTGTGCACCCTCCTGCAGCTGGCACTCTCGGGAATGGGTCCAGCGCTGGTGATTCAAACAGAGGAGATGCTCATTTCCAAAGTGCTTTGCCTCTTTCTGAACCACAAACTGGTAGAGGAGGAAGAGACTTAAAAATCAGCCAATCCAACCAGCTTGAGAGGGGAAACTGAGGCCAAGAGGGAGAGAGCAGCTCTCCCACGGACTAGAACCCATGCTAACACTTTCCCACCAGATTTGGTGGCTATGGCAGGGCAGTGGCTGAATTGAAGCAGGGGCATGGACCAGAGGACCTCTTGAGATGCATTTTTAACCCTACGACCATCACCACTCTAGCAGACCACTCCCCAGCTGGCCTCTAGCTAGTCCCTTCCACCCCGAGCTTCCTAAGAGGTTGAATTTATTCTTCCAGCCAGTGCTTATTGGGTAGTCACATGTGCCAGGCGTTATGTTAAGCACCGGGGATCAGTGGAGCACAAAACAGGTACAGTCTCCGTCAACTAGCATCTGACAGACTAGCAGGGGTCAGTGTGGAATAGGATGACTAAGTAATTATGATTGATGACTAGGCCATTATAAATTATTTAAAAAGTGGAAGTATAAGAATGAGGCACATTGAGGAAGGGGGAAGGTCAGCATGACCTCTGGCTGCTCGGAAGCATACTCCCTCACCCGCCAGCTCCTTCCAGCGTGGTGCCCTAGGCTCTGGAACAGTCTGCTTGGGTTCAAATCCCAGCTCTGCCACTTAGTAGCTCTGTGATCTTGGGCAAGTCACTTAACCCCTCTGAGCCTCAGTCTCCTCACTTGGAAATAACAGGCCTGTCTGTTACTGTAGTGAGGGGTGGAAGGAGGGAAAGGAATGTCCATAAAGAACCTAGCTCAGTGCCTGGCACCCATCAAACACTCGAGAAATAGACACGAATAGGGAGGAATTCATCTTAGCAAATGTTTCTTTTGACTCTTGAACAATCAGGGATGAAGAAAGGGGGATTTCACAGCTTCCAGGGTTGAGGGCAGACACTCCTGCCCCTTTCCAGCCAGATTCAGCTCCTCCCACCCTTGTTTGAGCAGCTGTTCTTGATGTCCAGCTGTGTCCTCAGCAGCATGGATGATCACCCTGCCCTGCTAATTAACACCCGCCCTGTTAATGATTAAATCTAATGACTTTGACTTGGGGATGGGATGGAAAATTCCCCAGCCACAGGACAGGACGAGGGTAGGCCATGGGGAGTTGGAGGGCAGGGCCCCCTGGGTGCAGGACGTGCTATTGATGGTAGGCAGGCGGCTGGGAGAGCTGATGCCAGGTTTTCTCCCCAGGCTGCTCAGCAGGGGAGTGTGGGTGGAGAGGGGGTCATTTGAAAGTTACAGCCCATCTCCTCCCCCACTCCTCCTAGGCTTGGCAGAGGCCACTGGGCCCCAGCCCAAGCCGTAGCATTCCTCCTGCCAGGGATCCGCCATTGATTGCTGCTGGGGCTGGAAGGACCGGGGTGAGATGCTGTATTGGTTTGCTAGGGCTGCTATAACAAAGTATCACGAACTGGGTGGTTTAAAACAGCAGGATTTATTCTCTCACAGTTCTGGAGGCTAGGAGCCTGCAATTAAGGTGTCAGCAGGGCCGCACTCCCTCTGAAGGCTCCAGGGAAGAACGCTTCCTTGCCTCTCAGCACCTGGGGGCCCCAGGTGTTCTTCGGTTTGTGGCAGCAAAACTCCAATCTCTGCCTCTGTCTCCACGTGGCCTTCTTCCCCTGTGTGTCCTCTCCTCTTCTTGTGAAGACATCAGTCATGGGATTTAGGGCCCACCCTAAGTCCAGGAAGATTTCAGCTCAAGATCCTTAATTAATTACATTGTCAAAGACCCTCTTTCCAAATAAGGCCGTGTTTTGAGGTTCTGGGTGGACATGAATTTCTTGGAGAGCCCACTGAGCCCGCTACAGGTGGTGAGAGTGCCCGAGGGGCCGTGAGGACTTTTGGAAGCTGGGGCTAGCACTGGAGGCCAGAGGCCGTGTCTCCCCGTCCCCAAAAGTGGAGGAAGTGCTCAGGACCCCTGGGAGTAGTTGGAGCGGGTCTCAAGAGGCCTATAAAAGGAGGCCAGTGATGATAAAGAGATGAAGTAACAGGAGTCGGTGTTCTTGATTAGGGAAAAGAAGGCTGAGGGAACTTGGAAGGGAAAATCCAGGTCCCTGTAATTTATACTGGTTGGAGGGGAAAGTATAACCTGCATTATATTATATACTAGTGGCCTGGTGCATGAAATTCATGCACTGGGTTTGGGGGTGGGGTCCCCCAGCCTGGCCTGTGCCCTGTCACAGTGCGGGAGCCCTGCAATCGATCACCCCAAAGAGGTAGGCCCCATCCACCCATCCGTGGCTCCTTGATGATTGTCCCAAAGAGCTAGGCCAGAGCCATGGACCCTCAGGCCTCCATGTCACAAGGGGACCTGCTGGACCTGCCTCCTTTGCACCACATGGAGCTGCAGGACCCCCAGGCCTGGCCACATGTGGAGCTGGGAGGAGGCTGGACTCCCAGGCAGACATCTTGTGATAGCGTGAGGGCATCACATGTGAGGGCATGATGACTACTTAGCCTTTTATTAGTAAGCATCATACATATCTATACTAATAATAGCCTACGTGGTTGTCACGCCCTCACACTGTGATGCCCTCATGCAGTCACAATCCCACAATCCATCACCAGGAGGCTGTATGTGCAGTGGTCGACGTGGGTGGGCAGGGACTTGATGCTGCTGCATGCGCAGCGTGGAGGTGAGGCCCGGTGGCTTGCTGTCCAGTGAGGCCTGGGGGTGTCCCACGGCCCACGTGGTGTGGAGGAGGGACCCCCGGCTCTGTTCTACCTCTTTGGGGCAATCCATCGAGGAGCCCTGGATGGGTGGGCAGGGCCTACCTCTTTGGGGCGATTGATTGCGGGGCTCCCGCACTGTGACAGGGCACAGGCCAGGCTGGGGGACGCCCCCCCACAAGTGCATGAATTTTGTGCACCGGGCCTCTAGTTATCATATATGTTATATATTGTATAATATATATTACATGCTATATGACAACCATGACTTGCCATATAATGAAAAACATAAAGTTGCATTTGGATTACACAATAAGTATGGTGTCATGAGATGATCCTTTATCCTTTATGGGGTCAGTGGGCAGAAGTAATTATTTCCCTTGCTTCTGGGTGAAAATTCAGGAAAACCTTTAACTATTCTGTTCACTCTCAGGTGAGACCAGCTCAACTCAGAAATTAGAATGACCAGGCCAATATATGAATCAAAACCTTAACTATTTAATGTCACTCTTTGCAGCTTATGGGCTCCTGCTGCAGCTGGAGCTGTGGAAAGGGGTGAGTGGCTGGCTTCTGTTCTATCTGTCACGATCTCCTTCCTCCCTCCCCCTAGCCCTGCCCTTCACCCACTCTCACTCTCTTTAGATGCTGTTTCTGGGTGAGGTGTGTTGGTGAGGAGGTTGGGTGGTACAGAGCAGATAGGAAGGGGTAGGCGAGTTTTTACATCAGCTGTGACTCAGCCTCCTGCTCCATCAGCTGGTTGTGTCCTCGTCCCTTCCTCTCTGATGTCCTCTGGTGACTATTCTCAAGGGCACTTTCCTGGCCTCTCAGAGTCCCATTCACCTGCATTTATTTATCCCAGAAACTTGAGCCTCCTCCCTCAGCTGCTGGGATCCCTCAGTCCCTTGAGGTAGCCCTATTGGACAGCACCCAAGATAGATGCATGGGGATACACCTGCTTCTCTCCCCAAAACAGCCAGTTCTTCAGTTGCCAGGCAAGCTTTGGCAGCTCAGGGCATTCCAGACCACCGCTCTGCCAGCCTGCCCACACAGCCCTTCCTTGGTCCTTCTCTCTCTGTCTAAATATATGGGTGGCACCCAGGCTCCACTAGCTCTGCCAGGCTCCAGGACACTCTGCCACTAACTCTAAGGATTACATATTCAACTCTCGGGACTAAGCATCCAGAAGGTTTGCTATAAGGGGGTAGTCCCCTCTCCCATCCTTGGGAGAGAGGGGATGGGGCTCACTACACAGCTTTGTCCATACATTTCCTCCTCACAAAATCTTCCCTTCACTCCACACTATGATGCCATTTTATATCTTCAACCAGGCTGAGGGGGTCAGGAACTAATTCTTAATATTTTCCTTGAAATTCTTCAGAGGACGATTTGGCACCTTACTTTGAAATTTCATTGATTTTGCCTTGGTGCTTAGTTTAAATCTAATTTTAGGATTCTGCTATGTAAGAATCTGGGACAGTTAATGTGCCAGGAGATGGGCATCTAAATCCATATGGTCGACTTCTCTAATGGCCACCAGAGGGCAGCAGATCCTGCTTCAAACTCTTTCCTTCCTGGAACTCATTGGAACTAGATTATTTTATTCAACTCCCAGACACCAGGTATTGTCCAGGTGCTGGGCCATGAGGAGGGCCTTAGCTCTCCCGATATAGCTCCTGGCTCCCTGATGTTGGCCGTGCTTTCTGACTTTCAAGCCACTGTTCTTCCAGTCGCAGTATCAAAAAAGTCAGTCTGCATCGACAGCAACAGCCATTTACTAAACACCTACATTGTAATGGGCCTGGAAATGAAAGCTACACTTTTTGCCCTGGACAAGCCCAGCCAGGGAGGGAGGCCTGTGAACAGACACAATGAATGTGAAATAGCAACAGCTGTTGTAGAGGCAGAACTACGGGCTTTGTACCGAACCCTTTGTACCAGAAACAGAGAGGAGGCGGGTGGTTGCCGGGGCGGAGGGTGACGGTGGGGGAATGGGTGACGGTGTTCAAAAGGTGCAGACTTGCAGTTGCAATAACTGCAGCATGGTGACTATAGTCAACAATATTATTTGTGCATTTGAAAGTCTCTAAGAGAGTTGATCTTAAATTTTCTCATCACACACACATTTGTAACCATGTGAGGTGATGCATGGGCTAACTAAACTAATTGTGGTAATTATTTCACAATATATACATATATCCAATCATTATGTTGCACACCTTAAACGTATACAATGTTATATGCCAATTATATCTCAATAAAGCTGAAGAAAAAAGAAATAAGGGCCTTGGGAGCACTGAGGAAGGAGCAGGAGCTGGAGAAGGCTTCATGGAGGATGGAGAATTGGAGTTAGTTTTCTTACGGATGAGTAGGATTTTGGGGGAGAAGAGGCATCAGACTAAGGGGGGGGGTAGATTGACAAATCCTGGGGGGTAAGAGAGTTGCCAGATGACAAGGAAGGCGGAGGGTAGAGGCAAGTGGTGGGTTGTTAGGAGAGATTGGGGGCCTAGTAGGGGAACGCTGGGAGGACTATTTTCTGCTATTAGCAGAAGCAAAGCTTCCTTTTCAATTTCTCAGTTTCCAGGAAGAGGGTCTCAGGCTAGATGACTGCAAGGATTTTACTGAATTTAGAGGTTCTCTGAGAAAGTGGGGCGATGGGAGCCTTGTGCTCCTCAGGGAAGAAATGCTTGAAGGCTTTGATGTTGTTTAGCCAGGATTAAACAAGACTCAGTCAGGGCTGGGGAGATCTTGGCATAACAGGGGAGGTGAGGGCCAGGAGTCAGACTGGCCTTGGAATGAATCCTGATTCTTCCGATACCCGAGTGAGCCTGGGCTGATGGCTTTACTTCCCCTGCTTGTCTCCTGATCTACAGAATGGGAATAATAATGCCGCCATGCTAGGGATGTTGTGTCCCTGAACCTTAGCGCAGTGCCTGGTAAGCATTCGTGAGATGGTACCATTTATTATTAGAATGATGATTGCCTTCAGATGTTTCCAAGGTTGTCACATGGAAACCACCAACTTATCTGTTCTGCTCCATCAGGCTGAATGAGTGACGCAAGTGCAAGGGGAACAGGGACAGGCTGCTGGGAGGAAGAATGCTCTTCCAGTGAGAACCACCCAAGCCTGGAAGAGGCGGCACTGTGTGTAAGGAGATCCTGTCACTGGAGGCACTCAAGAAGCTATCTGGGGGATCCTGCATTGGACCCAAAGCTGGACCTTCCTAACTCAGTTCCCTGGGATCCTTCGCATTGCTCTGAAACTGTGCAGTAGAGTCTATGAATGGACGATTTTGCGATTCACTTGGAGAAGAAGGACCCCTGGGACAGGGAAGATGGAACTGGCAGTGGAAAGAATCAGTGTCTCTTCTGGTCCAGGGCTAATCTCCTGAGGCTTTAGCTATCTGGTCTCCTCGGGTGAGAAAAAGCCTTGCAGGAAGCTCTGTGGGGCTCGTCCTGTCCCTCCTCCTGCCTCCAAGTGATAGAACTGCATATCCTGGGTAGGAATTTTGGGATCGGTGAGGGATATTCTTCTTTAAGACCCTCCCTTCATGCCCAATAAAAGAAAGTCCCCATTTTGGGGTCCTCCTATCCATCCTTGGTTAGAGAAGCCCTTCCCTGAGACATCACCTCAGGCTTCCTCACTGCAAGGCCTGGGCCCCGGGTACTGCACCTTGTTCTCAGGGAGTGTGGTCTTCTCCTCACCTCGGCACTGAATCTGTAGAGGCCGGGAGCACTGGGACTGTGAGCAAAGACTGTCCAGTCCTTTCCAGAATCTTTTCTTCCCAACCACTTTGAGAGAGGGAGACCCTCATCTGCCACCCCTTCCCCGTGCCCCTTTCCATTAGAGGAGAGGACTCCGCTCCTTCTTCACCAGAGTGTCAGTGTGAAACCCTCTGGTTTCTCTCTGTCCCTTACCTGCTCCTTCCTGGGAAAGGAGTAGCTAATTTCACCTACTCTTCATTCATTCATTCATTCATTCAATTTACTCATGAATTCAGATTTATTCATTGACCTCCAACTGTTTCCGTAATAATTACTGTTCAAGGTACTAGAGAGAAATGGTGAATAATAATGATCAACAAGGTCCCAGGTTTCACAAAGCTTGCATTTTGTGAGGCAGAAAGTATATACACCACTAAACAAGTGTATAAATAAGATATTTCAAAGCATGGTGAGTGCAGTGAGGGAATAAACGGGTGAGGTGACAGAAGTAACTGGTGGGAGGGCAGGCAGGGTGGTCAGGAAGATCTCTCTGGGAAGAGACCTTTGAGCTGAGACTTGAAGGAGGAGAGGGAGTCAGCTATGCAAAGAAAGCAGCTTTCATTTGAGAGCCTCATAGAGGCTGTGGAATTCTTAGGATATTTTAAAATGTCTTTTAGGAATAGGCAATAGAGAGAACATTCAAAACAAGACACAGACCGGTAATTCTCAAGGGCACAAGAAAAGGGCTTGGGAGCATGAGGCTGGGCAGAGGATTGGGTTGGGGGAAGGGTGGACAAAGCTGCATCAAGATGGGAGTTTGGTTAACAGAGTCCTGGAGGCTTTGGCTTGATCCTGGTGATGATGTAGGGAGTGGGTGGTGGACAGAACAGGAGTGACAAGAGGGATTTGGTTGCCCACCTTCCTCTAAGAGCAATTGAGACAGGATATAGACCTCAGTTCCTAGTTTGGGGCCTTTGGCAACTGATTCCTGTGGTACCAAGGACTGAGGGGGGTGGGCGGTGGCTGATTCCATGGGAGCAGGAGGTGTGTGGTAGCAGAATGATGGGCCTTAAAGATGTCCATGTTCTACTACCTGGCAAAGGGGAAATAAGGCTGCAGATGGAATTATAGCTGCTAATCCACTGGCTTTCAAACAGGGAGATTATCTTCGATTTTCCACGTGGATCCAATATAATCCCAAGGGTCCTTAAATATGAAGGAGGGATTCAGCAGAGAGAACAGGACGGATGGCAAAGGGAGAAGAACTTGGCTTGATGCTGCTAGCTGTAAAAATGGGAGGATGGGGCCGTGAGCCAGGGAATGCGGGCGGCCTCTAGACGCTGGAAAGGGCACGGAATGGATCCTCCGTAGAGCCTCCAAGAGGACTGTGGCCTGGCCGACACCTTGATTTTAGCTTAGGGAGACCCGTCTTGGATGTCTGACCTCCAGGATTATTAAAAAAATACATTTGTATTCCTTTAAGCCAGTACAGTTGAGGTAATCTGTAATTAGAAATTGTAATTAGCAAACAAATATAAGATGAAAGGACCCGCTTTTCCCAGCGACTGCCTCCTCCTGCAGGCTGAGTGGCTATGGCAGTGGAGAGACAGGATTTAT